TGTTCTCTGTGTGTGTCAGTAGATCCTGTAAGAGGCTCTGATTGGACTCCAGTGAGACGCCCAGCAGGAACCGCAGGAACAGATCCAGCTCTCCATTCTTACTCTCAAGGGCTTCATCTACTGCTGATGTTAGTAGATCATACAAAGAGTCTTTATTCAAACTGTGTTGTTTAAATCTTTTATCCAGAAACTCCAGTGGCTCCTTGTTCTTCATTAAATAGCAGTAAAACACATGGAAAGCAGTGAGAAACTCCTGAACGCTCAGATGAATGAAGCTGTAGACTTTCCTCTGATGAATCACAGATTCCTGCTTAAAGATCTCAGTGCAAATCCCAGAATACACTGAGGCGTCAGTGAGGTCTATGCCGCTCTCAATCAGGTCCTCCTCATAGAACATCACATTGCCCTTCATCAGCTGTTTGAAAGCCACTTCAGCAAGTTTCACAATCACTTCTCTGTTGGACTGCAGGAGTTTCTCTGGATCTCTCTCTTCATACTTCTGGTTCCTCATGTTGATCTGAATCAGCAAGAAGTGGATGTACATTTCAGTCAGAGTTTGAGGGATTTCTGCACTCAGATCTTCTTCCAGGAGCTTCTGAAGCACAGTGGATGAGATCCAGCAGAAGACGGAGAAGACGGGGATGATGTGGAGGCTTCTTGCTCTTCTGATGTGTGAGATGATTCTGCTGGCTTGATGCTGTTGATGCTGCATCTGATTGGCTGCTGCTGGTCTGGAGGTGATCCAGATGAGAGCAGAGGGAAGCAGCTCTCCTTTCATGAGCTTTGACATCAACACACCCACTGATGAAGTCTCAGTCACATCACAAACTTTCTGGGCGTCTGGAGCGTCTGATGTGATTCTGCTTTCATCCAGACCATCAAAGATGAACACAACTTTACACTCCTCATAAATCTCATAAATCTGATCTTGAAGTTCAGGATGAAAGTCCAGCAGAAGTCTGTGAAGACTGTACTGATGATCTCGGATCAAGTTCAGCTCTCGAAATGGAAGCACAAACATGAAATCTACATCCTGATGGGCTTTTCCCTCGGCCCAGTCCAGAATGAACTTCTGCACAGAGTTTTTCCGATTCCAGCGATGCCTTTAGTAACAACAGTCTTGATCTGGTCTTTCTCTTCACATCCTGGTTCAGGTGAGGCTTTAAAGATGTCATTGCAGTAGATTGGAATGTCTTGTGAATATTGTGTTCTGGCTGTTTGCTCCATCAGTAAAACCTCATGTTCTTCGTTCACTCCTTCACTCTCTCCCTCTATGATGTAGAGCTGTGTGTAGATCCTGTTCAGGAGAGTTTCATTCTCTTTGAGTTTCACTCCCTCAATTAATATCTCACACTTTTTCTTCATGCTGGCTTTGTGCTGCTCTTTGACTCTCTTTAGTTCATCATCTGTTG